TCCTTTGAAAGCAGGTATAGGGATATCATCTGCATCCTTTGCACAGATTTTATTAAGAAAAAGCCAGATCTAAAAATGTACTCTGTCAGAAACAAGCACACCAAATGCATACATAATGGTAGGTTTTCTAAATAGAGGTTTATGCGCTGTCCATTAAAAGTGACTGATGCAAATACCATTTGTAGAAGCATTAATCTAAATCTTTTACTCGGCGACAGATTTCTTCTGTGAAGTCTGAGCATTTTGCATTGCCTCCCAGATCTTTTGTTAAACTCTAAGAAAAGGAAAAAGCAAAAAGAAAAATGTATCTATGACTAAACCAAACCAAGGATATTTTTATTTAAAGCCCTCAGTGAGATGCCAGCTGAGCAAGTTACTTGGCTACTCTGTCTTTCCTTTAGTTTCTCATTTCAAAGTGAAGCCCCACCCCATACTATCTACCACCCCAGGAGGCCTGAGAAGATCCAGCGAGACAGAGGACACAAAAACACTCCATGAAGGATAAGGCACTCTTGCTACAAAGGGAAGCAGGGAGGTTTTCCAAAAGTTTCCCTTTGTTCATACAACAGATCCTAAGAAATACTGGTTGATTATGGACATTTAAATGAAAGCAAGCTGAACAGAGGTTTCATAAAGTCCTTGGGGAATTTTTTAAAGCTTAAAAATTTAAGATATGTTCTAATCTATTTTTGGTGGCTGGGAAACAAATACCAAAGAAATACTTAAATCACTCTTAAACCTCTCTCTCTAGGAAAGTCAGTCTCCCGTACGACATATCGGTTCTATCAGCTTATCCTTCTCTTTACTGTAAGCAGACTTCAGTGTATTTAATTCTCTTTATCTTTGCATCCTACATAATTAAAAGGGCCCACTGTGTAATTCAGGCATCTCTTTGCTAGGTCTAGAGTATAGCTTCTCAAATATAGCTTCAGAATAAAAAACAAATAAAATCATATGCCTTCCAATGGCAAGCATGGACTTCCTGTATTTTGGCCATAAGCAGTAATTTCAAATGACAGAATTTTTTAAAAAGGGGCCACTTTGAAGACATGCTAAGAAAAATAAACCAGACACAAAGGACAAATACTATATAATTCCACTTATGTGAGGTACCTAGAGTAGTCAAATTCATAGAGCCAGAAAGTGGAATGGTGGTTGCCAGGGCTGGGAGGAGAAGGAAGGAGAGTTATTGTTTAATGGGTAGAGTTTCAGTTTAGGAAAATGAAAAAGTTCTGGAGATGGATGGTGGTGATGGTTACATAATAAAGTTGAATGTACTTAATACTACTGAACTATATAAATCTAACAATGGCTAAAATGGTAAACTTTTGTTATGCATATTTTACCACCATTGAAAAAAAAAAAAGGACCTAGGATTAGGGAACACTCTTCAAGGCCTGGCCTTGTGAGGCTACGACATCCTCTGCCCTCCTCCCACTTGGACCTAGGATTAGGGAACACTCTTCAAGGCCTGGCCTTGTGAGGCTACGACATCCTCTGCCCTCCTCCCACTTTCAGAATAAGCCATTATACCCCTTCCATGGACGCAGTGAAGCTTGTTGGGTAAGAGCCAGAGTGGGTGGGAACCCCAATTCTGCCATTTAGGAACTTTGAGACCTTGGACAAATTACATGATCACTATATGCCTCAGTTTCCTCATCTATAAAATGGGATTAATTATAGTATTTACTTCACAGAGTGGTAGAAAAGACTTGCTGAGATGATACATATATATAAAGAACTTACAATCATGTAAATATTCAATTAATATTAGCCATTATCATTACTTTTATAAAACTCTGTATTGCTTTTGTATTATAGATGCACATAGTATAACACGTAAGACCATTGTATTAAGACACATCTGCGTCTGTATTGGCTGCTAGATTCCAAACTCCTTGAGGCCTGGTACCTTATCTTATTCATCATTATATTATAGTCTTCACACCTTATAATGTATGCTCAGTAGATTTTTATTGACAGGAGGAAAAAGCTGCTTTTTTAATTAATGGACTTGGCCAAGATCATGCAGCTAACAACAGGATAATTGGGCCCGCAGCTGACTCTGGCTCCCAAATCACTGCTCTTTCCACTGCATGCTGATATCTCTATAGCAGTGCTTCATAACCTCTTTCAGATGAAGTACATAGATCTTCACCTCAGAAAACGCACATGTGTGTGCACATTCCCTGAAGTTCAGTCAGGGAGCCCACATTAAGAATCCCTGCTTAGGGGCTGACCGGTGGCGCACTGCTACAGTGCGACGCTTGGGAGCGTGGTGGCGCTCCCGCCGAGGGTTCGGATCCCGCATACAGACCGGTTCCTGCTCACTGGCTGA